TAGAATAGAATAGAATAGAATAGAATAGAATAGAATAAATTCTTTATTGGACACACAAGGAATTTGTCTTCAGTGCATAAACTGTCAGTGTACATCAAAGATATATGTGATAAATCATGATCACAGTTATAAATACATTCGTCATGAATCATAAGATACAACACTTGGAGATAGTCACAGGATACTAAATAAGCAATCAACATAAATCATACTGGTAAACTAAATAAACCAATATAAATCATAAAGATACAAGCAACAAAGTTATAGTCATAAGTAGAAAAGGAGATTGGTAATAGGAAGGATGAGAATAATAATAGTAATACAGAAACCTTCCTCGCAGTGCATATATCATGTTGATGGACCCCCTCCAACCTTAAAAATTTTGGGGGGATGTATTGCCAGGCGCTTCGAATGGCCCTCGGCATGGGCTAAGAATGCAGATAGTGGCCGGCTTTGCTAAAAAGAGTCAGTTTCCCAGACGTTGCTGTGCAGAATTTGCTGACTAAGAATCAACTGACTTCAAGCCAAAGGCAACGTCTTAAGACCTCCAACCCAAACAAGCTTAGCCAAAGCAAATAATTCCGGCTCATCATTCAGTCTCTTTTTGCCTGTTTAGGAGTTGGACGATCATGGTGGCTTTTCTAAACACCCCCACGAACATCTGGTGGGGATTCTCCAGTTCTGGATATAGCATCTTTATCTTTATGGCGTTCCCGAGGGAGGCTTTCAAATATAGTGCGCTATTTAATGATGCTAAGGGCCGTCTCTCACACAGAAGCATTCTTCACAGCAGGAAAATAAAATAAAATAAGGATGATGAGATTTCCATGTGGGTACTTGACTGTGGATTTTATAAAAGAGTTCCCAGTATTTCTAGAATGGCATCAAGAGGAGAAGTGAAAATAGGAAGACAGACAGTGATGGGCTCCTACAGGTTCGCACCGGTTCTAGCGAACTGGTTGTTCTGCTGAGCAGTTTGCCCTGCCCACTCACCCCTGCTCTTTCCTGCCCTATATTTCCCTATTTTTTAGCTCAGCTGACTCACATGGCATAGCAGACTGCCGCTGCTTGGCTGTTTTACTCACCAGCACTGACATCGAAGGTAATTTTTTAACCTTAAAATGGGCGGATTTTGAAAGCACACTCACCGAACCAGTTGTTAAACCGGTTGCAGCTCACCACTGGAGACAGAGATAGGGACGTGTGATGACCTGGGGTGTGTGTTCTGACCCAGCCGGGTTCCCAAAGAGCAAACATAGACAAAGGCAGCAGCCCCCACCTTTTAAGGTTTAATAACAAATGCTGTTCCTTTACAGATAAAAGGCTGCTTTCCACTAATTAGCTCTGACAAGAAAGAGCCTTGCCAAGTTGTTTGTCAATGATGCCAAAACCCCGGAGATAACACTAATTTACAAGATTCTCCAAACACGAACTAAGATGTCCACAAGTTGAACTTCAGAGCTTCTTTGCTTTCTGCAAAGAACACTTTTTCAAACCTGGCTTTTATCTTCTTGAGGGAGGGGCCATTACCTTGCAGCCTTACTCCTGAGTTGCCTGTGCTACTGTAATTGTTCTTTCCTCCGAGTAATCCTTTGTGCATGTGCACTTGGCACAGGCTTCTCAGGAACCTCCTCATCGCTGCTGCCAGCCCCCACAATCACTGAAGGCAGCAGTCCACTCCCTGATGGTCCTGGCCCCTCATCAGAGTCATCACTCTCCTCAGCCATCTGCACCTGCTGCTGGCTAACCACAACAGCATGGCACAAAGGCAACACAGTCAGATAATCAAAAAGAGTCCCTTTATTAGCTCCAACTCTGGAGGAAAACTCTCCCAGGAACAGCCATTGACTATAACGAATCAAGTCCAAAGCATGGTCAACAAAAATTGTAATTATAAGTTCACTCAAGCCAAAATAAGGTAATTAGTTTGGCAGGGCAGGAGCAAGAATTCCAGATGTGCAGGCATGGCAAAACTCACACGGTTGGGAAGATGCCAAGAACACAGATAAGCAAAAGACAACACAGGATAAAGTCATGTTTGTTCCCAGCAGACACCGCACTCAGCTTGCATCTCTTTTCAACTCTCTTCCCAGCTGTGGCCAAATGAAGGGAATCAGGGCCCTTTCCTCCCCCTAAAGCCATGCAGCCCACGTTGGTCTGTTCTCCGTTCTTCCCTGCATGCCCTAGGATGAAGAGGGGTGGGCCTGGGTCTTCCTTTGAACCCCCTCTCCCTTGTTCTACCTCTCTCCTGCTCTGTCCACGTGGACTTTGCCCTTCCCCAGTTTCCTCCACAGCCAACGGAGCCACACTCACACTCACACTCCCTGTCAGCTGTTCGTCTTCCTCCTCGGATTCAGCATGACAGGGATGGCTGGATTTAATGGATCAGAAAAAAAGGGTATGAAGCCTTGGTCAGAACAGTGATAGAGACTTTGAGCCTGCTTGAAACTGCAGAGAGAGGTTTTGTCTTTAAAAAAGATATATCTTGCAGTCCCTTGAATCCAAAGGAAAGCGTTCTGCCTTACCAAATTATGCCCGTGAGGGTGACTCTAAATCTTCGAAGCATTCTAGGAATGGCTAGAGAATAATATCTCTCTGTTCTTCCTGCTTAAACAATGCTGAACAAGGTTCAAAACCTGGCTTCCCACTGGAAAACAATGGCCCTCAGCACTTCCTACTTCAGAAGAGAATATTAGTCACGCCGATTTGAATTGTAGGGTCCTTGGTGCTCTCTGAGCTGTTTTCCTTGCATTTCATGACCCAACTAGGCAACATCATCAGTGTTAGAAAGGAGTGAGGGAGGAGATGAGGAAGTGAAGGAAGATGAAAAGGAAGACAATTATGGGGTCTTTGGCGCTCTCTAAACTTGGTTGTTGTCTTGCAGATATTTCATGACCCAGCTAGGAAACATCATCAGTGCTAGAAAGGAGTGAGTGAGAAGGAGGAGGAAGAGGAAGATGAAAAGGAAGACAATTATGGGGGTCCTTGGTGCTCTCTAAGCTTCGTTGTTGTCTTGCAGACATTTCATGACCCAGCTAGTGAACATCATCAGTGCTAGAATGGAGTGAGGGAGGAGATGAGGAGGAGAAGGAGGAGGAAGAGGAAGACAATTGTAGGGTCCTTGGTGCTCTCTAAGCTCCTTGCAGACGTTGTATTATCCAATTAGGTAACATAATCAGTGTTAAAAGGGAGTTGGATTTGTGGAGAGGAGGAGGAGGAGGAGGAAGAGGAAGACTGGAGTCCTTGGTGCTCTTTAAGCTTGGTTGTTTTCTTTTGCAGATGTTTCATGACCCAACTAGGCAACATCATCAGTGCTGGAATGGAATGAGGGAGGAGGCGGAGGAGGAGAATTCTAGAGGTCCTTAGTGCATTTTAAGCTTGATGGCTTTCTTGCAGCTGTTTCATGACCCAATTAGATAACCTCATCAGTGCTGGAAGAGGGAGTGATTGATGGTTGGCTTGCAGCTGTTACATATGTGGGATACTGTACATAAAATATTTGGCATTCTGATTAATGTGGGAGTGAGCATGATGGATAAGCAGCCTGGCTTGAAATGTGACAGTTTCTCAGGTTGTCTCAAACGTAATTGAATCTTACCTCTTACTACTTACTTTGAACAGTCACGACGTGAACCGTTAAGTCGAGAACTGCACATATCAGAGTTCGCTTAGTGACTGTTCGAAGTTACGATGACCCTGGGACACATAAATGCAAGTCAGTTTTCAAGCATGTAAATGTCAATCAGGTGAGCCTTGGGATGCTGCAAGAGCTGTACGCGTGAAAAAAAAACCAATCATAAGTCACTTTTTGTGGTGCCGTCGTAACTTCGAGCAGTCACTAAATGAAGATTCCCTGTATTTCTCCAAATTAAGAAGACCTGGAGACTTGGGAAGAAGGAATTGATATTGTGCTCCTTTACATCCTGAAGGTTTTGCTGCTTTTTGAACCAACCAGACAGCAAGGAACTTTGAAAATCCACGGCCTGGATTGCAAATGGAAAATGTTTGTTTCATTGGAACTCAATTTCCCCTCTGGAAAAATTGCACATGCTTGTAGAGACACCTGTATTCTATAAGCATTGCAACAGATTCCTTCCTTTGAGAGTCAAACCGTTTTTGTGTTGTGAGTCTGGCAGGGGAAGAGGGATTCCTGCTTTAGAGAAAGACTTCTTCCATTAGCAACCTAGCAAGGGTTCCAAGATTACTTTTTTTTAAATATTCTACTCCTGTGAATCATCTGGGCCAAATCCTTGCATGCTGGAGGAAAAATGGTCTGTAGAATAATAAATTACGACATGAAGCAATTGCAAAATATATATATATAAACCCGTTTTCCCTGATTGGAGGCTCACTATGTATGTGGGACTCGTTGGATAATGATTAAAGATGATTTACGAGATCATGATAATCGTGAGGTATGCATTTCCAAATTTGTGGAGGATATCAAATTGAAGAAGGTTATAGCCCAGTTGTATTTAGCTCTATATTAATCATTTTCCTGTTAAAAAGAAAGAAAGAAATCAAAACAGTCCTTTTAGAAGGAGCATTAAAATAGATCGAATTAAAAACAACAACTAAGCAAGCTATCTAATAAATTCAGAACAGGAAAGTAAATCTATAGGTATTTTGAGTTAATCAAGCAACGGGTATATATAGCAGCATATAAAGCATATTTGTGTCATGAAAATTTCCATGGCTCTGAAAGTTATCCCGATTATTTATCCCCTAAGATCTCTAATCAGATTGTTTCAGAAACCACAGAATTTTGAATTTTCACGTAAAAGGCTATTGCTATTGCCAGCTGACTGGATGAGCTAGGTAGAAGAGTA